CTGTGTTAGTAAGCTATTATTTGGGGAAAGAAGAAAAGCAAAGTTTAAGTGTCTCATGTGAGTTGATAAGAGAACCCACCTTTATGAGCCTCCCATCAACTACAACTCGAAAGAAGAGCTAGAAAAGCTTGGTTTACACCAGATGACCCTGTAAGGTAGAAGAACCTTGCTGAGCAATATGGAAGGATCAGAGAAAATACCTTGAAAGTCAGAACATAGCTGGGCTCGGTTGCTCAGCCTGTAATCCCGTGCCTTTGGGAGGCTGAGGTGAGTGGATTGCCTGAGCCCATGGGTTCGAGACCCGCCTGGGCAGCGAGACCTCATCTCTACAATAAATTAAAAAATCAGCCGGGCGTGGTAGTGCATGCCTGTAATTCTGGCTACTTGGAAGGCTGAGGCAGAAGGATCGCCGGAGCCCACCAGGTCGAGGCTATGGTGGCCGGAAGCGGCCACTGCACTCCAGTCGGGGCGACAGAGTGAGACTCCAACTCAAAAAAAAAAAAAAAAGGTCAGAACACCTGTAAATGCATATTGATTATCTTGAATTGAAAAGTAAATGCTGTAGAATGCAGTATGTTCTTTTTCTTCTTTATATTAATATCCCACTTAAATTCGTGTCACTAAAACAAGGCTGGCTCTTGTAGAAGAATAAAGAAGAATATTAAAAGACAAAACAAATCTAATTTTGCAACTCTTAGTTGGTTTTAATCTGCGATTCTAGAGTCAAGCAGCAGTCTAGACCAAAAATAGTTATGAATACTCCACCAACTACACGTGCAGGTTATATTTATAGTCAAAGAAAAGGAGGTGACATACAGAAAGTGGAAGTGAGGTACAGAGACAGCATGATTAGTTAAAGCTCAGCATTTGCCCTAATCGAATCTGGTATGAATAGTTGGCCACTGGTAATTGACTGAAACTCGGCTACTTGTTACAAGAGTAGGTTACAGACTGTCTACACTACAATTACAGACTGTTAGCCTAACAATTCATTATGTACAGAGAGAACTTTAGGCCAAATTTAAAATATGTAACAGAGGCAGCTTTATGCCAAAATGACTATAAGTAATTGTTGTGGTAGTTTGTTCCCATCTTTGCTAGGAAATCTCTGGAAGGTTCTGGGAGAATAACATGGTGCACTAGTTTTGGATTGCTGCCTCACAAATCACCCCAAATTTTAGTAGATTAAAATAGCAACTATTTTATTTGCTCACAGTTCTGTAGGCCAAAGATGTGTGTTGGGTTTAGTAAGGCAGTTTTCATACTCATCTCCTCTGGACTCACTCATATGGCTGCAGTCATTTGGCAGCTGGAATGTGGCCAGTCTATCTAAAATGGCTCACTTTCATGTCTGGCAGTGGGATTGGCTGCCGGGTGAGCAGCATGTCTCTTACAGGCTCTCCCAGGTTTCTTCACGTGGTGACTAGTTTCTTAAAACAGCAAGAGAAATGGGAAACCCAGGTGCAAATGCTTTTCACGCCTCTACTTGTGTCACATTTGCTAATGTTCCATTGACCACATTAATTCATATAGCCAAGCCCAAAAGTCATTGTGAGAATTGACCACACAAGGCCATAGGTACAGGGAGATATGATTTATTGAGGAGAACTTTACAGTAACAGTCTGCCATACATGGATATTTGAAAGTCAAAGTCAATAGGTTCAACTTCAGGTGTCGGGATTCAGAAATTACCTACCTGCCTAGGATTTTGTCACATGGAATGAATGAAACTTGCATAGTGTTCCAGAACACCTCCAAGTCAGAGGAATGAGACTTCTGCCAGCAGTGAGCCGGGTTACCCAAAACCAATCCCTTTTTCATTTAGGAGGAATAAAACCTCAAGTGCAAATTCTTTTCAGGTGTTTATAAATCATCTCCTGCTTTCTTACCTAGAGAAGCAGATTTTTTTTTTTTTTTTTTTAGATATGGTGTCCAGGTGATTTTTCTAATGTCTCTAAATGGGCACCCCAGAGAATCAGTCCTTCCTAAATGGGCTGAGATGCTCAAAGACTAATGGAGGTTAACTAGGGTGGATGTCCCGATTCCACATTTAATAAAAATAGAGTGGAATTATGCAAGTATGTAGATAAGCTAATCATCTGACCTAATCAGCAATGCAGATTTTGAAAAGCCTTTCTAATTACTCCTCAGCTTGGCTCAAGGTATGGATAAAAAGAGTTTCCCAGCATGATGGTAGCAGATGTATTTCATAATATTTATTGAAAATATTGGAAAGAAATCCTCAATTATGATGATCCTAAAAAGTACATCAAAAAGATAACATATTTAACATATTTTAAACTTTCATTAGGATATAAACATAACATAATTAGATGATCATGTAACAACTCTCACACTAGTTATCTGAAATCTTTTATACAATTACTTTAACTGTTAGACCCAGATGGCTTATAGTTAACTGCCTGTATCTTCCTTGAGTTGTATTACTTACCTGTGAGAGCACTAATTGTCGTGGACAAAATGGGGCCACCAGAATATTTTCTTTTCTTTGGCTATTTGCTCATTTGGTGTCTTGGCAAAGATGTTGTGGTACATGTGTTTCAACAAATTTAAATGTTAAATTGTTGACATTTACAGGCGTATGTAACACCACACAATATGTGATTTGGAAGCCTAGATAGATCTGATATCCATTTTCTTGGCTGCCTTTGAATAGTTATGAATGGCTGTTAAATGAATCATTCTAGAACAGGATTGCCTGAAAAGAAGCTATCTATGAATTCCTGGCTCAAATTCCTGTATCATCCCTGGGTCTTGTGCTCCTTGAGTTGTTAGTTGTTTATCTTTACCTTTCATTCGGTGAGCTGCTCAATATCTTTCTAGCATATTCTTTTTAATATAAGCCTGAGCTAATTTCTGTTGCCTGTAGCCAAAATAAATCTTAAATGATATGGTTATTTCAAATGCTGTTAGAATGACTGAATAGTTAAGCTCTCTGGTATCAGATGATATTGGAATTGGTAGCTTTGCCCTACAAAGAATTTCTCCAACATCCTCTTCTAGAGAATCTTTTCTAGAGATCAGATGGAAAATAAATGATATTTTAGTCTCATAGTTTGTGATACAAAGAAAATAATCAAAAGCTCTTAATGAATATTACTACATAATTCGGGACATTTGAGGAAATGAATGCTGTATTTGAGAGAAGTACAGAGTCACATGACAGTAAGTTGTTTTATTTGAGGACAAAGCCAGAAAATATGGATAATCCTGTGTATGACAATTTCTTTCTTAGTAAAGTTGAAATTGGGACATAGTTATGCAACTAAAAGTCATAAATTCTACCACCTTTATATGTCCATACTTTTAAAGCCCTAGATTACTTTCTCAACCTGGGTACTACTGACGTTTTAGACTGGTTAGTTCTTTGTTGTGAGGGGCTGACTGTCCTGGGTATGGTAGGGTGTCTAGCAGCATCTTTGGCCTCTGCCCACCAGATGCCAATAGCATACTTTCTGGCCCCCTCCCCACCCCCCAAGTTATGACAGACAATGTCTCCAGATATTGCCAAGGGTCTCTTGGGAGGCAAATTGCCTCTCAGTTGAGGACCACACTTTTAGATTATTCAAATTATTTTCTCTTTAGTTAAGCTGATATTTATCAAACACTTCCACTGTGCAAAGTATATCTTGGTTTATTTATACTTAAAGGGAGAATATATCATATCCATCAACCCACACTAGATTCAACAGATAAAAGTTATTTCCTAATCAAATTTAGTTAGAAATGTGTTGAAACTTTCTAGGTGTACTTTTTCTAGCTATATTGTCAATATTAGGCACAATCATCAAAAATTACCATTTTGTGAGTATAAAATGGGTGAAATATCAGCAACCCCATGTGGTTCTACCTAATATATGAGGCACAGCAACAACAACAAGAAAATGACTAAGATAAAATAAATGAGATTATAAATGCACCCAAATATTGTGGCTATGATTGTTTATGAATTTTACTTTTCTTTGCAAGTAGTGGTGGTTTAGAAATCGTATGTAGTCAGCTTTGAGGAGCAATAATCTGGTTGAAACTGGGCGGTATTGAAGACATATATTTTAACAGTGCAATTGTGCAGCTAACACAGTACTTATGATTGAAAAAGTGTGCTTGTTTTGTGCTTGAGGTGAGAGCTGATAGGTATTCTGGGTAGTGGTTGCTAAAGCACCACTTGAGGGAAAAGAAGGTAGAAATGAAACCTAATTTTTTAAAAAAATGTGTTAACATAGTACATGTTGACAGTAATCCTCTCATTTGAAAGAATCTAATGTTCTTGGTCAACTACTGTGCTGTTTCTTGCTTTGGCAAGTTCATGGTGGGAGGAGAATCATATCTGGAAATGCCTTCTTGAAAAATGAAATCAGGAGGAGCACTTTATAGCACATAGAAGTAGATATTCAGAATGCTTCCCCTTCTGTCATTTTTATACTCTCCAATCCCCACTTATAGCAGTAATGGACTTCAAGACAATGATTCACAGAAGTACGAGAAATACCTAAAACTTTTAAGTCATGCAAACCCTGTTCTTCTTTTAATTTATTAGCAGGCTATAAGCAAATAATGTGTCCTCTCCTTCAAGCTGTCCACCTTCCCAGGAGAGGGCTAATGAGCAGTGAAATAGCCAGAACTCTGGAAGTGGGAGCCGGGGAGGAGAAGCCAGAGGGAGGAACTCCAGTAGCTCAGGGGTTGCTTGTGACCACTCAGGATTTGGTAATATCATAGGTTTTATAGTTTCTGTTTTATAATCATTCCCTGAAATTCTTGAGAGCTGATGGAGGTTTTGGAAATCCAATAAAGAAGGGACAGAGAGACAGTAAGTGCTTAGAACATAAAATGCAGAGCTTCCACTGATTCCTGTGATGTCTAGAGAATTCCATTTGCGTGATATGCACAGAAGAGACATTCCGTGCTTGATGTTGGTCCACGACAAGGTTAATTTTCTGCGCACTAATTTTAATTCATTATATATGCCTTTTTTTCCCAGCACAAATGGACCCCCGAGGCCTATCTCCCAGACAAAGTAAAAGTGACAGTGATGATGATGACCTGCCAAATGTGACCTTAGATAGCGTTAATGAAACTGGATCTACGGCCCTTTCCATAGCCAGAGCAGTACAAGAGTAAGTATCACATTCTCAGGATGAAATAAGAATTGCCAAGGTGTTCAATGGATAATGGAAACTGCAGCGTCTCCTGTCCCCCAGCCATGTCATTCTAGCTGTGAACTGGCACGAATGTCAGCAGCTTTCCATTCGGCCTAATGCTGTTTGGGAGAAGACTAGGCCAGAGAATGGAGTGTATGAAAGAGTTGGAAGTCTGGGTTTTGATTAGACATGAGACCTCTTTGCATCTTTTCTAATGTCTCCTGCACCCTTCTACTTGACTCTGAAAAAAAAATACATTGTTCTTTTTAAATGTCACTATCTGATTACCGTCATAATTATTATTATTCATATATAACATCAGAGAAATATAAAACATGGCAAGTATTTATACCTTGTTTTGATAGGGAATTATAGATTAGCTTTTGAAAGTTTAAGCTTGGAGGAAATTATGTTCACTCTTTAAAAAATAGCAACCATATGTAATTGTTCAAAGCATCCTTTTCTCTCTCCTTTTACCTGGACCATGGGGTTACATCTCAGCCCTTGTTTGTTGAAAATAGCTGGTCTTCTGTTATCGTTCGAATTGTACCTATGATAGTCCATGCATACTTTTTAATAGGATAACTTTTTTACAGCTTTATTGAACTATAATTGACAAATAAAATTTTATATAATTAAAGTGTATCATGCTGATTTGATATACATAGTGAAATTACCACAATCAGGTTAATTAACATGTTTATCACCTCACATAGTTTTTTTGGTGAGAACATATAAGATCTATACGCTTAACAAATTTCACATATTCAGTATAGTATTATTACTGTAGTCACCGTGCAGTACATCAGATCCTCAGAACTTCTTATGTTTTATCCTTTGACCAGCACCTCCTCATTTTCTCTGACAACACCATTCTACTCTTTTTCTATGAGTCCCCCCTGTTCTCTATATTCCACATATAAGTATTTGTCTTCTATCATAATTTTTAATAACATAATCATGAAGAAGAGGAGAACTTAAATAACTATTGTTATTGCTGACGCATTTGTTAATTAACAATTCACTCAGTTATTTTAGTTACCTCCCATATAGTAAATTTTTCCCCAGATTTTGATTAAGTACCTACTCTGTTCCATACATTAAGCTTTGAAGTTTAAAAGAATTGAAATGAAAGAACATCAATTGGGCAACCCCTTCAAGTCCCCTCCCACTGTGGGAGCCTTTCTGTCTTCTCAATAAATCTTGTTTTCTCACTTTCAAAAAAAAAAGCATCAATATACAGCATCAATGTATGTCTATGTGTATACAAAATGAACAATATATCCATGTTATATAGATAATATATAATACATATGATACATTAGAGGAAACAGGCTGTAATAGATCTAAAATGAAATGTGGAGTCAAGAAGATCTAGATTCAAATTCACATTCAAGCTCTTAATAGTGCAATTTCTAGTAAGTTCTTTAAGCACTCAGAAGTGTTTCTTCATCTGTAATAAGAAACTTAAAATACTTACCTGGCTCAGGTATGGTGGCTCACATCTGTAATCTCACTGCTTGGGAGACCAACGTGAGAGGATTACTTGAGGTCAGGAGATTGAGATTACAGTGAGCTATGATTATGCTACTAAACTCCTGCCTTGGTGACAAAGTAAGACCCTGTCTCCAGAAAAAAAAAAGAAAAGAAAAGAAAAACCTTACCTGTGATTTACCTGTGATACAGATATAAGATATAAAAAGTAAGTTATGAAATTTTGGCACATGAAAAACTCCAACTAATGGTGGGATTAGTATTACTATTAGTGGTCATAATAGTACTACTGTAGTAGTATAAGATTATAACAACTAGGAAATAGAAGTGTGATAGGTGTTATTACTCTGATTTTACAAATGAAGGTTTAAGCATCAGAGAAGGTAAATGACTTGTCCAAAGTCATATAGTAAATAGTAACAAGGCAAAGTTTAGGACTTCCAACTCTAAAAACACCTTTTCCTAAGAGTGGTTATAAATATTCTTCCACTTGAGCACTTTAAAAAAATTATTTTCTCTCATTTGTTCAAATAACTTAGTTTCTTCTAAGCACACATTAACTGGAGCCAGAACTGGCATTGCGCCCAAGGAGTTGCTGAGATCTTGTTTATAGTAGTGGCCCACCATATTGCCATTCATGATTCATAGGGATCAGTAGAGTGACCCTGCCTTTAAAAAGTGTGAACTGCTGGGCTCAGTGGCTCAGCCTGTAATTCCGCACCTTGGGAGGCTGAGATGAGTGGATTGCCTGAGCCCGCGGGTTCGAGACCCGCCTGGGCAACTTGGTGAGACCTCATCTCTACAATAAATCAAAAAATCAGCCGGGCGTGGTAGCGCATGCCTGTAATTCCAGCTACTTGGAAGGTTGAGGCGGAAGGATCGCCGGAGCCCAGCAGGTCAAGGCTGCAGTGGCCGCTGCACTCCAGTCTGGGCAACAGAGTGAGACTCCAACTCAAATAAATAAATAAATAAATAAAAGTGTGAACTATCGGATTTATAGTAAATACAATACAAAAATTATATCCAATCTTTAAAAATAATTTTTGCACATTACTAATAAAATTGTAAACAATCCATATAAAATTGAGCAGACATTTGAAATAAAAGATATACAGGTATCTTGAAAAAAATCCTATTATTTGTCATCAGTGTCTTAGTGTAGCTGTATAGGGATACTTAAGGCTGGGTAATTTATAAAGAAAGAAGGTTTATTTGACTCATAGTTCTTCAAGCTGTACTTGAAGTATAGCACTAGTAATATCTAATCCTGGTGAGGACCTCAGACTGCTTCCACCCATGGCAGTGGACCTATGGGAGCTGGTGTGTAGAGATCACATGGTCAGAGAAAGCAAGAGAGAGAAAGGGAGAGGTGCCAGGTTATTTTTAACAGCCAGCTCTAGGAAGAAGAGCTCACTCACTATTCTGTCCTTCCTCCCAGAACATTAATCTAATCATGAGGGATCCACCCCATAACCCAATCCACCTCTCACAAGGCCCCACCTACAACATTGGGGATCAAATTTCAACATGATATTTGGAGGAGACAAACATCCATATTATAGCAGTCAATGAAATGAAAATTAAAATAGCAATGAGATATCATTTCATTCTCATTAGAATATCAGAAATGAATAAGTCTAACAATAACAAATACTGGCAAGGATATAGATCATACTGGAATTCTCATACGTTGCTGGCGATGATATCAAATGCCACAAATACTTGGAGCACTGTTTCTAATGTAATCAATTCCCTAGTAAATGTCTAACAGCATGGAAGAATAGATAAATAATTTGTGTCATAATCTTACCCTTGAGATACCATGAGTAATAAACATTTTGTTAAGTGAAAAGTCAGAAAGTAAGTGCTTCTTGGAGAATTGGAATTGACTAAAGGGGACACAGGAAAGCTTTTGGTGGTTTTAGGAATATTTGTTATCTTGTTTTACATGATGGTTACTTTGCTATATAAAGACTTGACAAGTTTATTGAAATTAACACTTAAAACTTGTGTATTTTATTTTATGTAAATCACACCACAATCTTAAAAACAGCAAAATCTTTTTTAAAAAAGTGTGAGCTAAATCTTAGGATTGAGGCGTCCGTGTTTTCCTCCTTAAAGTTAGTCTCGATGAGTTTTTTTTTTAATAAATTTTTTATTTTAAATATGTGGGGTACAATTCAGTTAGGTATACAAATGTTCATTATGCAGGTATCCTTGTTGATGAGGTATGTCCCCCCTCCCCTGGCAGTTTCCCTCTACTGCCAATCCCTTTTTTATAGTATTATGATAGTTGTTCAAGGTTCATTTATGAGTGAGAACATGTGATACTCGGTTCTTTATTTCTGGGATAGATCACTCAATATTGTAGACTCTAGATCCATCCAAGTTGCTGCAAAGTTCATAATTTTGGTTTTTTTTTTATGGCTGCATAATATTCCATCGTGTATATGTACCACATTTTAAAAATCCAGTTCTTTTTCAATGGGCAGCACAGTTGGTTCCATGTTTTTGCTATTATGAATAATGCTACAATAAACATGCGTGTGCAGGATTCCTTTTTTTTTTTTTTTAATTTATAAAGAAAAAAGTTTTATTTGATTCATGATCAGGATTTCTTTTTCATAGAATGATTTGAGTTCCTCTGATGAATAATAACCTTTCATAGAAATTTCAAACACACTGCCTTCCTTCATTGTGATAATACATATTTGTGTGTGCTTTTTGATATGTGTTCATTTTTTAAAGTTAAACTTTAAGGATTGGAGCTTTGATAACTAAAATATGAATTATGCTTACTCCATTTGGAGCATCTGCAGCAAATAGGGATATTAACTTCTCAAATATAACCTTTTTTGTACTTTTTATTTCATCTGTTTGTATGTTAGTAAAGCAGCCTTAGGAACAGCAGCATCATTTTCCACACAACCTCTCGGATGCACTTTGTGTACACTTTCTCAAGCCACTTTGTGTACACTTTCTCAAGCCACTGAGGAAAGCACGGATGCCTCAGTCCTAAGATTTAGCTCACACTTTTTGTATGAGTGCATATGCCGCCTGTCTTTATTACTATTATAAAAGTTGTATGTGTATCCTGGGAGATGCCAGATTCATTATTCATGTCAGTGTTTTCATTAAATGATTAGTAAAGAATACACTGAGCTATCAACTGGGAAGCCCTAGTAATGCCAGGACCCATCAATAGTTAATTAGCCATCATTCACGACTGAATCTGTGTGTGTAAACACTGGATGTGCTTAGATACTACTAGATGAAGCAAAAAGAATGTTCTGCAGAGGCTTCTTAAATATTGATATGCAGGTAGCTCAAAGACTACAGTAACATATTAAGAAAAATTTTGTTCTGAAATAAATATATAAGCTTTGATTTGTTTTTTTAATTCTGTACTTAGGTTTACTCAAAGTTAACATTCAGCAATACAATTGCAAACTTGTTTTTGTGCTCTGGCTAGTTTCTCTTGA